GTGGAGTTTGCATGTTCACGTGCTTGCGTGGGTTTTCTCCGGGTACTCCGATTTCCTCCCACAATCCAAAAAAATGCATGGCAGTGTTCCTTCATAGGGGACGGTTTGTTTGCATGTGTCCAGGCACGCTAATATTAGCGAGCGAGAGGAGAAGAGGAACAGAAAGTCATTCACATGCACTCGGCGCATCGCCACATTTGCGGCGGCTCGAAAGCGCATCTCCCATTTTAACAGCAGGCGACGTGTCACCTTGCAGACAAGGTACCAATTTGATGTTTTCATGCGGGCAGGCGGACACCGACTTGGGCACGCAACAGCAGGATAAATACATAGTCAACAAGTCGCAGGACGACACCGAAAGCGCAGGCGATAAAAAGCTCATGTTGAGAAATGACAGTCGGGGCGTTTTTGCTTTGTTTGCTCTTTGAACGCACGTAACAGACAAACAGGTCGCGATTCATCCCAGGAAGTCAAACTCGCCGACGGGGGGGGAACAAATGCTAACGCGCTAACAATTGATTCGCTAGCATATAGCTAGCCAGATCGAGGCGGGTCTTGCGGTGTGCCCCGTCGTCCCGTTTCAAATGAGTCCGTAAAATGCTAACGTGCTCGCCGTGGGTTTGCTAACATGCAATAAGATGGCCACCCCAGCAGAAAAATCACAAAGGCAGACCGGTTAGGACTAGACATCGCGCGCCCCGTGGTCGGGTAGAAATCCGGATGACAGTCGATCAAATGATACCGTGCTGATAACATGAAACGAGATACGGGAGCAGGCCGGGAAGCGCGACATTGACTTGACGTCGAGTGTGCGTTCAACACCAAATTGACAACGGCGTCACCGTCCGTATGCTAGCAGACAGCAAGCTAGCAACCCGAGGAGAAAACGCGCTCAGACGGATGCCGGCAAGTTCTAACATACTCACGGGTGGATATTCTCACGTAATATTGCATCGGCGGTCACGATGACCTCCGGATCGGACTGCTTTTGGAGTCCTTTGACATTGACGGGTCAACGAGGGCCTTCATCGCCGCCGTGATGACGTCAGACCCCGTTGCGGCGAACCACTGCGCATTGTCAGGCCCCCCGAGGCCGCCTTTTCAGCCGCGTGACTAACGTGAGCTCAGTCGCGGCCGCAGGCAGGAGGAGGCCGCCGTCTTATTAAGCACGGTAACGAGCACGCTAATCAGAAACGGCGGCGGCGCTTCATCACTTCGCTGCGGGGGGGGGGCCTCATTTCTCACACTCGCTGAAATGTTTACATGTTCGTGCCCGGCGGTCGGCGGCGGTCGCGTCTTCCACGACGGACAATTAGCAAGCGAGGAGCCAGCAAAGTCCGCCCCTCCTGCGCCGACTGGTTACGTACGGCGGGAAGCAAAAAGTGAACACGCCCGTGCCCTTGTGGCCTGGGTTCCCGATTCAAACGTAAAGTGCCTCGAATGAACGCCAAACGCATTTCTGATGCTCTAGTTGTCTTTTTTCTGTATCGTCCCATCTTAGGGCACGATGCATAAGGTCGCCTAGCGACTATTTTAAGAATCCGTTCATCCTTTTGCCGGTTCATCGATGAATCCGATTTTTTTTTTTCAAAACCCATTGACGTCCCTCTATCGAAAAACAGGACAACGTATCCAATCGCCGGGGCGGAAAATCCGCTAACATCAATTCATTGTGATTCACTTCCTGGTTTGGTCTGCAACAAGTCTGAAAATGCTGATCGTTGTTTCCCAAAAAAGTCATGGCGGGTGAGTGTCGCAAAGAAAAAACGAGTCGGCATCATCAGAAACGTTTGATCATCGAGCCGTCGATGAACCGTCGCTCCTCGAATGCGGATCTTTTTATTGGACCGCATGACAAAAGTACAACAAAGGAAACGTTTCCGGGTCAGGGCGGCTTTATCCGGCGCCGGCAAGCCGGATCACGTTTAGTCGGCGCCTCGGTTGGCTCGTCTCTCTCGACCGAGATGAGCTCTCGAAGCGGTCATTGTCCGGTGGAGACGTTTCCATGTCGCGTACAAAATCAACGCCAGCAAATTTTGGACTGCTCCTCTTTGAAGAAATCGCTCAACGTCCGTTGTTGGGAAAGATCAGATTTCGTGGCCAGCAATGCAGAAATTACGACTCCCTCCGAAGGGCTCGTCGCTGGACTTCCCCTTTGCGACTGTTATTGTTTTTTTTGGCCAAACAGAGGCCCTCCCTTGTTTTGTTTTGTTTTGTTTTTTTGTCTTTTTCTTCACCCCCCACCCCCCCCC